TGATAGGGCTTGAGATAAAAAGAAAATAGAGAAACTGCTTATAATATGCGTGCCGCATAAGATTTACATTAAGTAAAAGAGTAAAATGTACAATTATAAAAATTAATCCAGACACACCCAGTAAGTTTGCTAAAAATGAGAAAAAGGAAAAAGAAATATAAATGAGGAAAAAGACATACTTACATTTTCCTCTGGATCCATCCACCATGATTTTCTCACCAAGCAGTAAGCAAGGCTGGGACATCTAGACTAGAAGTACTGTTTATCATGATTAACCATTTCAAACCTTCCATACTTCCTATAATTCCTTTCTTGTTCTGTTTTTCTTGCCAAAGATGATGATAATTCAACTTCCACTGTCGGTGTATGTGTCCATCATGATGTTATTGGCAGGCCTATCTATAATATCTGTGACATGTTAACCCGGTTCACATCAACCCCCAAATAGTGCTCACTAGGTTGTAGAAAAGATTTTGTCATTTCATATAATTCACTTCGAAAGATCTTTATTCAGTAAAAAAATGAAAAACAATATGTATATTAGAAATTGCAACCGGGAATTAAAATATTTATTGTCTTGGCATGCACTCATGGCAGAGATGCTTGTGTTGATGCCTCGTTTTTTATTTTTCATGAAAAAACTTGTCAATATATTTAGTTAGACCAACATTCATTTAAAAGTTTAAATCAATGAGCTATGTGTCAACTATGGTAAATTAAATGCTCAATACCATATCAATTCTCTGATATGGAGACCGATTTAACTATTACAATATTACTCACGTGACAAAGAATCATATTATTACAATTTTCATGTCTGCAAAATCATATTCCAAGATATTCTATTAACATTCTCGTTCGTCAATTAATTTAATTTCAAGGTGAATCAAATGAGGCCGGAAAGTACGAGAGAAATTAGGAAAAAAATCGAGGCCAACAACCTCAGATAGTAGGAGGAACTATCTCAGGCGAAAATGCTCTTCGATGGGATCCCTTACACGATCAAAGTCAGATGGACCAACGCACGAACCCATCAATAATCAAAGACCCCACTTGGTTTAGTGGGGTTGGCGTTTGTGGCCCCGCTTGACTTTGAAATCTGAATCCATCCTCGCACACCTTTTGAGAGGACAATTGTGATTGGAATTGATCCTTTGGGTAATTGACTAATTGGATTTGGTTCGGACAAGAAACAGGAAAATCCTTGTTGACGTAGGCAACTGTGCTTGCAGCCATTTGGGAAAGTACAAATGTACATTCTTTGGGAGGTTTGGGTTCCTTATACCACCCTTGTATTAAATCTCTCGAGATTAATATTTAATGGTTCATTCCTTAGCTAATCAATACCCATAATTTGATTTTCCTTCAATTTTATCATTCCGTTGACCTGACGCGATATTATAAATAATTGTTATTGTTAGAAATATAACGTGAAAATGACAAGATCTTACAAATTAAGTTAATGCGAAAATACCAGAGAAATAAACGATGAATGATAAAGGACACCAGAGATTTACGTGGTTCGATTAGAATATCAGTACTTACATCTACGGGGAAAGTCAGTAACAAATAATCTACTATAATCGGAGAATCAGAATTACAATTCTCTCATATCGCTCGAGTGTTTTTTACACCTAGATTTAAGTTCAAATTTAAAATATTTATAAATAAATAATTTAATTGGACGAAATAAATTCATTGCACAAATCACTGTGTTAGGAGAATTCCTTCGTACGATTTCTCTTCGGCGATTGCAACTTCTTCCTGTGTGGCTCTTCACGGCTAAAAGAAAACCCACGGTTCTTTTCCCTTATATATCCACGCGGCGACTGTAGGTTAGCGAAGAGAAAAAACAAACCCTTTGTTTTTGTTGTTTTCTCTCACAATGACCTTTCTGCCCTTGGATAAGACAAAAGAACAAACTCCTCAACCGCACAACGTGAATGCTCGGATCTTCTTTTCTTTTACCCTTGGGCCCACAAACTACCCATAAAAGAAAAATATATAAATTGTAGAATATGTGTGCCCATCTTTTGTCCCGTAGTGCCAATATGCCCCTTTTGCTGAAGACGTCCACAGTACGTACCAGGAGAGGATTTCCTTTCGTGAACGATCTTCAATATTATCTCCAATAGAAAAGATACATTTATCCAAGCAAGGCACGTTTCGTAAATAGCTCAAACTCGAGTCATAATTTAGCAATTATCTTGTCAGCATGTTGTAAACATTGCCTGTATAGGGAGAACAAATCTTATTACGAGCTTGGTAGCTTGCGTATTCACCCAAGACCACTCAGGTCAAAGAGGCCAGAAGAGCTCTTTTAGGCGAGCTTGCGCACAATTATTCAGTTATAAAGCCTTATATGTCATGGTACGACTCGAGTTGATCCGGCTCAATCTGGGCATGTCTATGATATGTCAAAAACCATCAACAAAAAAATCATTACAAAATATAAAAAAATCTATAAAAGGAAACCCGAGGAAAGTAAGCAGCTCTTCTAACTCTCTCAATTTGTGCAATCCCATCCTTTTGTTATCTCTAATCCATTAATCTGTCACATTGTTGACTCTGCATTGTTCTACTAATGTAATTTACAAGGATAATTTGAATAATTAGACAACACTTTATATACGAAAAGAATCGCATTGGAAATTAATATAAAATGATGTAAGGTCGTAATCTTAAAAACTATTTGATAAAATTAACTCAAACACAACATGTAGAGAACTAGCAATGTGATAGCCTGATAAAGAAGTTTCATTGTTTTTCATAAAGTTACAAAACTAAGCCAAATCGGGAGCGAACCGCCAACCAACTTATGTCTCGGGCATTTATTACTCATGTAGAGAAATTTTCTGGCTTTTGGGATATTGGTGGAGCTACGGTGATTGACTCATCAACCTCAATCATTCATATGGTATAGGTAAGGTTTAGACTGAACATTGCACCATAACTGGAATGCGTAGAAGTTGTAGTCGAGTTTATTGCTCCTCCTTGCACTTATATCTATGCATGTTTGCTTGTGTGAAGACATACTTAATAAAGTCAACAACAAAATAATTTGGAGTGATAATTTTGCTAAGGTCGAGAAAGTAAGACGAGTAAGCCAAAAAATTAAAAGAAAATTGAAAGAAAATATTTGAATAGTTTATGAACGTGACTATTTCAACATAACATAATTCGATAGTTGTCTTATCAACTTGACTTTTGGGACAAAATTCAAATTGTTATCATTAAAAATATAGGATGAGTAAATTGTAATTCTCTCTCGAAAGATTTAAAAAGAAAATGAGATGGCTCAGCCACTTCATCTGGTATAATCATCATCGATGATAACCCTAGCTTAGTTGTAATGAGAGAGTGTACCTGATCAATTTCGTTGTCCATCTAATATGAAGTCCTATCGACTTCTACATTTAAATCTCAAAACTTTACTTTCTTATGTATAGATTTCTCCATATTGACCGCCTTGTAAGATACTCTCTTAGGATGAGGGATGGGCTAAAATGGATGCAATGATCGGACCTTCTACAGATCAGGCCGAAAAAATATGGGCTGTCTCTCTCTGTCCGTGTAACCTTTTCTTTATTTCATTGTATTAGAATTGTTCGAACTCTGTCTAGGTAGTTGAGAATTACCTTCGACCCTGATATGACGAAGATATTTTCTCAGCTTTCCGCTTACACTCCGCGTTCGCCGTTCCAATTCTTCACGTCCTTTGATGGATGAGAACAGAGAACACCCTTTTCTAGAGCGAAACTGCTTGTAGGGATTTGAGAGCCTTTCATAGACCCTACGAGCACCCCAAAAAAGTCTCAGACATCAATCACTTCAGTATGGACACGCATGTTCGCTGGTCTTGACTTCATGGGTTTGCCGTTGAAACCTTGACTCCTCGTTCAACGTAAGTCGTGTTCAAAACAACAGGAATTCGCAATTTTACATCGTTCTAGGCAGACTCCAAGCTTGAACGCCACGTGAATCAGGAAAGCTGCAGTGCTGAACAGCTAGTAGGGAGGGGAAAAGCCGCATATAAAAAACTGACCAATTACAAATGCTTCCGTGTCGCAGCAATGTCTTAGAGATCCCACACTTGAGATGGATATATGAAACAAAGAGGGAGACATTCAAGGAGAAGGGACAATATTCAACATGCATGTGGCGAACACTCGCGTCACATTCGGCAACATACATACGCCATTGTTATTGAATTAGGAGAGTTTCAGGACATTAATATCAATCAATCGATAAAGAGCACTGTGATGTGTTGAAAGAAACAACTTGAATTTACATAGTCAGCGTCATTACTACTAATCCAATCCAAAAGTATGGCTTTGGAGTCTCCACATGCAAAGTGAACATATCAAGGAGAACAACCAACCTTCCTAGAACACACATCAAGAGAGTCCGGCCACAACGATGACTAATTGGTCAATGCGTATGCGACGGGTAAATGGAATATCATGCCTTGCCCCTCTCGCACTCCACCGCCCCTCCACCGTCTTAACTAGTTACTTTGATTTTCATTCCCATTAAGAAGATGGAACTAAGTGGATTGCCCAGTAGCAAACAACAGTCATCGAATCACAAAATTATTCATAATCGACAACAAAACCCAATCAGTTTAAAAATGAATGTGAGATTTGTGTGTGAGAAAGAGAGAGACTTTATGGTCAAGATAAAGAGATAGGAGAACATGAAAATGTACGGAAAGGATATCAATCATCATGACAAAAGGACGTACAATCCACTGAAAAAATGAAACAGAATTATGAACATCATGCGGCTACCTTTATGGTCCTTAACGAGGTGCATCCACAAACTTGACGTGTGATCTGTATTTTGGCAGCAGATCCTAGATGAAAGATTTGAAAGCAGCTTCCACAAAAGTTGTTGTCCATTAAAGATAGAATGATAGTAACTAGTAAGCTACCACTTGATATGAGCAGTTAAAACGTGAACTCAAGCACATGGCTACAACATGTATGTAACCGGACAAATTTACCCACAAAAGCAACTTCAAATAGCTGTGTTACCAAATGATCTTTTCTCAAAAATGCTTTAGTTACGAGATATTTACGCGCAATTCTATCAGCAGTTACATATCCGAAAGGAGGTAAAAAAGGCAAAGCAAAATTGTCAGCTGGGGCGAGGACATCGCCGATGTGCTATGTTTTAGGTGAACAATCTTCCGTCTAGTCATGATGATGTCCATTTGGATTACTCAAGCATCGCTTGAAATTAAAGTTGCCTCAGTGTGGTCAACAAACACCATCCTACACAAAGAAAAACAGAGTCCATGAACACCGTAGAGGCAATTGTCCACCGGGAAAAATACATCATACATTGTTGACATTTCAGGGCGTACTAACATGGTCAACCAACCAATCAAGTGTTCTTGCTTTCCTGACACATTGCAACTATTGCCGTTCTATGTCCGAAATTACGATGACCAAAGACATTTGATTGGTTACACGGTATCATCGTTACACAGGTATTCATTTGATTGGTTACATGGTATCATTGTTACACATGTATTCTTTACTTGTCCATTGTGCCTCGAACAAAAAAGATTCCACACTTCATTCCACAACAAGCAAGAAAAGTGAAATCAACTTGTTGCCAGCATCACAAATCAGAAAACCATGTTGATAAGATGGAATCAAAGGGACAAGCTACCACAGAACAAAAGCCAAATAAAAATAATAACACCATCGCCAAAAACATGACAAATATCTTCATCATCCTATCGCACCGAGAAATTGTGCAGAAAGTAGCAGAGCCACGAGCAACCTCGCTCTGTGAGGTCAGATGTCGATCAGACAAACATAATCTTGATTGTTATTCACATGAGAAAGCACTATCCGCATTGAATTCGAAGCCTTAAAAGAAGATGCTAATTTGGTACCGATGTGTTGCTTAGGACGAGTTTGCCTCCGCCAGAACCTATTAGCAGACCGTCCACTAGAATTTAGTAATAATCAATTCAGTATCACGTGCAACATGAAATCTTCAATTAAATTCTATCTGTCGGGCCCGAGAATTCAACCGCACAATCCAATCCCTATTCTCGATAGATGGAAACTATCACCAGGGTTTTGGGGTGGAATTAATTGCGTTTCCACATTTTCATGTTCCTCAAACACAAATCTTGGCCAAAGAAAATAAAACAACATAAATTTCCTGATAAACAACATTAATCAGTGTGACAACTGCATGGGTTCAACCATCTGCCAAATAGGAAAAAGTAGTCATGGCCACGGTTCGGAACCGGCCGGTTCCGGTTCCGATTCGTAATTTAAAAATTAAAAAAATAAATTATGAAATAAAAAAATAATGAATTATAAAAATATGAAATAATGAATTATTCAATATAAATTATAATCAAAATGAAAATTGTAGGGGTGATCGGTTCTCGGTCCCGATCAGGAACCGAACCAGTAAGACCGGTCCTTTAATTTTAGAACTAGGAATCGGACCGACAAATCATAGAATCGGGAACCGAACCATTGGTCCGATCCGGTCCTAGGCGGTCCAATGGAACCCTTTGCTCTTAACTAGCAAAGGATCGTAACCACAAAAGGCATACAACTTCACATGCTCATGGCTTGGCTTGGGTTTTATAAACAACCCCTTTGATGGTCTCTTCATTCCCATTCAATGTGGGACTCTTGGCATTTACATGAAGACAAGCCAAGAGTCTCACATTGAAGATGTTCAAGGCAAGCCGAGAGTCTCACATCGAATGGGAATGAAGAGACCATCAAATGGGTTGTTTATAAAACCCAAGCCAAGCCTTGTAATTAGAGTTCAATACACCCAAGTCAAGCATTGTAATTGGAGATCAATGCACTTACAATGCATGGCAATTAGAGTTCAATTTGTTTTATAACAAAAAAAATTAAATAATGAATTTTTTTTTTAAAAAAATTTCATTATTATTATTATTTAAAAAAATAATTTGGAATCGGCCCGTGGCCTATGGGTCCAGTTCCGATTCCAACAATTTTGGAACCGCGGGCCCGGTCAATGGCCCGAGCCCGAATTTGATCAGGTCGGTTCCGGGCCGAAACCAGCCTGTGACCATGACTAGGAGAAAGTGGTCCACATAAACGACACCAGAACTACACTCTCCAATCTCCATATCTCGCAGCAGTAGTCCAGCCACCCTAGATCAAAAAGCGTCATAGGCAATAAATGCAAGTAGGCAATGCAGAAGTATTTTGGCCTGAGACATCACCTCATAACAGCCAACGCCAAATCCGCAAAATGGTTGAGAAAGGGAAAACAGAGAGAAAAATATTAACTCATGTTGTTGGTGCCTCCCAAGAAAACAATTTTGACTTTGTAAAAATAATGAGGAAAACACATAATTGTTAGTGTCCTTACCAACAAGGAAATAAATGATGTACAAAAGATGTCCACAGAACGTGGGCGCATCCAATCAACAATCATATTGTCTTCAAACGTAATCTAAAATGAAAGATAAATTATTTCACCTCCTATCGCTTTCTATTTTCTGAATAACCTGCTTTAGTATTCCTACATTCAAAGTGAAGCGTGCCGCATGCAAATTTAACATCCCAACGATATTGGATGTGAATAAATATCACCAAGTTTCACTTCAAGTCGGCCAATTCAATAAGAAAGAAAGAAAGCATTGAAGAAAATTTGAAAGGACAATTCAATTTGATTAGAATCAGCATGGTAGAAGTTTGACCCCATGATGTCAAGAATGCAAACAGCTATATCAATGAAATACCCTAGATATCAAACTCGACAAATTCACCTTATAGAGAATGTAAAAGAAATAACAATTTTTAGACAGGTACAAAGAAACAAAATAACATGAGAATGACGGTTGAAATTGCATTGACAAGATCTATATCAAAGCAGTACCCCAAATACCAAGAAGACACACCATCAAGCTCTGAACTAGATGTTTTAAAGTAGGATCGGTACCATCCTAAGCTGGAATAATAAAGCAACACCACATGAGACATGCTCTTACAGGGGCCTCCAACGGCTTGATCTGCCACAAGTCGTAGGAGCAGCTTCTATACCATGCTGACGTAGTTACACAAAGTGACACTACCCGGTCACTTGAACAAACCATTCCACCCCGAAGACCGCTCTACCTCTAGTCCCAGTCTTCAAGCTCTAGTTAGTTTATCACATTATTATGCACTTTACATTATTAGCACGAAGTCTCTCATGAGGAACTTATCGAATCACTGAAAGAAATCTCAACTTCCCAACAGCTGAAAGTACTTGTACCAAATAGACATTTGCGCAGGTTACAACTCGGACTGGAAAAGTAGAGAAACTAATTGACTGAATCATATGTTCTACATGTAAGTATTCAAAAGTTCCAACATAGCTCTTGTTCTGGTTCTGAAATTCAATCCGAATCATAAATATGATATCTCTACCGCATCGACTGAGCATCCAACCACATAGATATAGATGATAAACTAAAGAATGAATCGATTCAAATGACTAACAAAATCATACAGATCCTCTGAATTGGCAAGTAACTAACCCCAATTATCTCATAAAGATGACAACGATTTCCTTAGGGGTACACTAGTACACGTTCACCAAACGAAAAAAACCTGTTCGCCGAAAAATGGCGTTACGAACTTGCCTCAGATCCCCTCCCTTTGAGTGTCCTCCCAGCGCCTTCAAGCACAGAGCACGCAATCATTTGCGACCGGGCCAAACTTCGTGCTACAATCTCGTGCGGTGGCAACATCGCTCCATCTCCCCCGTCGCCGTCGCCGTCGCCATCGCCGTCGCCGTCGCCATCGCCGTCGTAATTGTCACAAATCTCATTGAATTCGCGACATCTCCTCGACACCAGCGCCGGCGGAAACACCACCGGCACATTCACCGGCGCCGGTCGGTGATACCTCCGGCGGGATGGGGATCATCGTCGAGCACGAAGCTGAGGCGGTACAGGAAGAAGACGAGGAGGAGGAGATTGACGATTTGTTCGTTCTCCGGCGGGGCCGCGAGGAGGCCGAAGCATTCCGACAGAGCGGTTGGCTACGCGTTGCGGAGGTGATGCCGCGGATTGGTGGAGGAGGACGGAGGTGATGACGACATTGGTGGCGGGTGGGCCCCGTTTGCTTCCTCTTGTTTATAATTTTTTCCTCCCAATTTCCTTATGTTATTTGAAGCTATTGCTATCCCATATTAACCTCATAAGTTAAATTGAGGGATCAAAATGAGCTAAATATATGTACCTCTGTCTATATATATATATATATATATATATATTAGAAGGTTGGTTACAAAATCGGAATTTTTATCATCCATAAAAAGAATGTACAACTTACACCTCATCTAACCCAACAAATATCGGCTTTGAAACAAAATATTTGGCTAAGCTCAAACATGAAATCGTACTCTCAAAAGTCCCGTCGATAGAGCTCTCATTTTACTCGCTGTTAATCGAGGAACTTGAAAAACATGTAAGATGAATGGGATGAGTAATAACAGCTCAGTGAGTGGAATATACAACAACTATGCATATATATATATATATATATATATATATATATATATATATATATATATATATATATATATATATATATAAAGCAATACCGGAAACTCATAATCCAAATTTAAAATATGATATACATATCCAATCAATGGTCAAGTTTATTAATTAATCTCTATCAAAAACCACTCCAATGGATTATTCCATTGACCAATCCATTGCTTAATATACTACCATGGTCATGACACAACGCTTGATGACAGGGCGACCAAGATTCCCCCTAGGCAAGGTCTTGACCTATTATTAGCCAGTGGCTCAGCTCATAAGGATATCCTAAAATTGGTATGTATACCCAGAAACCCCTATTCGGGTTCTTAATATCATCTCATGCATTATTCATGATTTTAATGTATGTTTTCTACGTGTGATTGATTGAATAAATTTTGCACGTATTGAAATAGTATGTCTTTGGATTTTAACGGTGAACTTTAAGAAGACTATGTTTGATAACCTCGTAAAAATTCTTTGATCGCCGTGTTCATATTGCACATCATACACATGTTCAGATGTTAGGCCACATTCATAATTCATATTTTAGGGCTTCCATGTTTAGGGCAATGCATGTTAATCTTAGATTTAGAATAATGCATGGTTTTCATTGAATATAAAAATCAAATAAAAATGTCATTTAGGTTTCATTTAGATTGCATGTAGACTTAGGGTTAATTAGTCTCATATCACGAAATATATGTCATTTAGAAAATCATATAGATAATTTTAGTTATTAACAGCATTACATGTATTATCCACATTCCATAGGATAAAATAAAAATGTGAAAAATTGGTATCGCATCATTTAATTGATAGTCATATAATAATTTTGGTGGTAAGTTCATTAGGTCACATGTAGAGTCCTTAGGCTTAAATTCGATGTTTTCACTAAAAAATAAAAAATAGCATTTCGTATAGTTTGCATTATAGAATTAATTCATTATTGTCTTTATGTCATTCATACATGCTAATTAACTTAGGATTGCATAGGTACACTTAAAATATGTCATCTTCCATCTAGAACTTAGATTGCATTTTCATTAATCATGTAATAACTTAGGCTATCCACGCTAATTTAATTCAAGCATGATCAGGAATTGATACACCTTAATTTGTAGACCTTTAGGGTCATTTGTCTTTTGTTAATTGATAAAAGAAAAAAGAACAAAAAATGAATTAGAGGATCTCAAATAGATTGCATCAATTATGAGGATTAGTTTCGTAAAGTTCATATTGCATATTACATACCATTTAGTGAGTCACACGTCATTTAAGATTCATTTTAGTTGATACCTCACATAGATAAGATTTAGAACTAATTCCGTAACGTATAATTTAGAACTCATCATGTCATATAACTAAGTCATTCCTGCATATCACTTAGTAATTTAATGGCAAAAGTACACCACAAGTGCCATAACTTGTGTACGGCGATTACTTTGGTGCCATAACTTTTTTTCGGATCACTTTGGTGCCAAGTCGGAGGAAAAGAGATCACTTTAGTGCCAAATTGGCCGGAAATCCGACGTGGCATTTTTTATTAATTTTTGACGCCGACGTGGCTCGCCGGAGGCTGAGTCAGCGTGTACAGTCAGCATTTTTTATTTTAAATAATTTTTTTCAGCGTGTACAGTCAGCATTTTTAATTTTAAATATTTTTTTCCTTTTTTTTTTCTTCTTTCCTTTTTCTTTTCTTTTCTTTTTTTTCTTTTCTCCCCTCGCCGGCCGGCCACCGGCAAAGCCCGGGAAGGGCTGGACGAGGGCGGCCTTGCCCATGGCCGGCGAGGGGCGGCCGACCCTCGCCGGCGAGGGCGAGGCCGGCCTCGCCCGACGCCGGTGAGGGTCGCCCTCGCCGGGGTCGCAAGGGTCGCCCACGCCCGACTCGGGCGAGGGCGACCTCGCCAGCCCAGCGAGGGCTTCCTCGCCCGACGCCGGCGAGGGTCGCCCGACGCGGCGAGGGTGACCCTCGCCCGACGCCGGCGAGGGTCGCCCTCGCCTGAGTCGGGCGTGGGCGACCCTCGCCTGACACCGGCGAGGGTCGCCCTCGCCGGATCTGGAGAGAGCGACCCTCGCCGGCATCGAGCGAGGGCAGCCCTCACCTGGGCCGGCGAGGGGCGGCCTCGCCTGTCGCCGGCGAGGGTCGACTGCCCCTCGCCAGTCATGAGCAAGGCCGCCCTCGCCCAGCCCTTCCCGGGCTTCGCCGGTGGCCGGCCGGCCACCGGCAACCGGCCGGTGAGGGGAGAAAAGAAAAAAAAGAAAAGAAAAGAAAAAGGAAAGAAGAAAAAAAAAAGGAAAAAAAATATTTAAAATTAAAATTGCTGACTGTACACGCTGAAAAAATTATTTAAAATAAAAAATGCTGACTGTACACACTGACTCAGCCTCCGGCGAGCCACGTCGGCGTCAAAAATTAATAAAAAATGCTACGTCGGATTTTCGGCCAAATTGACACTAAAGTGATCTCTTTTCCTTCGACTTGGCATCAAAGTGATCCGAAAAAAAGTTATGGCACCAAAGTGATCGCCGTACACAAGTTATGGCACTTGTGGTGTACTTTTGCCGTAATTTAATTAAGTTACTCTATTCTAGGATTCACTAGTTTATTTTCTTAAATTATGTATGTTGATTAAATGAAGAAATTTTTTTTTAAAAAAAATAGCATAGATTGAATGCTAGTTAGTTATTAACTCATGCATAACCATGCACGACATTCATGAATTTGTCTACATATTTCTCAAAGTCATAATTTGCAAAATCTTGTGGTGACGGATCATGATATGCTTTTTTTTTTTGCTAAGTAGGTTCTTTAATTTTTGTTTTGCAATCTATTTTATGGCTTTGATTATTGGGTGTTATTTCATTGTTTGCACACCCACATGATCACCATTCATGCATTAGTGGCATATGATAAAAATTGACAAAAACTGCATGCAAAACATTTTCGAAATAAAGAAAAAAGCTACCGAAAGGGCCGTAATTAAGTCCCTATGTCCATAAATCTCTGGTTCATAAAAATAAAATACACTCTCACATTTTACTTGCGTATCTAATCAATCCATAACTGATTAGTGACGACTGCACAAGGTAACAAAATTGCATATTAAATCGAGTGCTAATTTGCGATTGATAAGGTTTGGGAAAGTCAGCGCTAAACGAGAGTGATTGGCTTGTAAGAGGAACCTTCATTACCGTTTAGTAGTCCGTTAGCTTTTCCATGGTGATTCACCTCTGGGAGGGTCGTGGCAAGAGCGTTCAATAGAATTTAGAGTAACCAAACGACCCGAATTTCTGGTTTGTGGAAGTGGAATGATCTCCTGAGTTTCACTTGGCTTTTGAACGGCCACAAATAGGTTAATGGCCACTCCTAAAGAAAGAACAAGAATCATTATGCTTAATTGAGTCAACCAAAGTTCCAATTGGTTGGGTTTGGGAGAATTCGAGCTAAGTGTGAGCGCCACCTTGCGAGAGGGACCGTCCACACTCACTTGGTAATCAATAAACCACCTCGAGGTTAAATACTTAAATGTTTCCCTTTGAGAGGGTGTCATGACAGCTTGGCAACTTCATTTGGGACAACCTTTAGAGGACTTAAGCCCGACACTTCTTGTTTTCGAAAATGTTTTTGTGTGTTCATCCTGGAAGACCCCGGGTTGCCATAAAGTGTGCGCTTTCGAAAACGTTTTTGAAAACATTTTTGTGTGATCATCGTGGAAGATTCCAGGGTTTGGGAAAACATTTCTTGGTTTCGGCTACCATAGTCACTATCAACTGCTCAAGGGTTGCCTTTTTCCACCTGCAGCTGCATCTCTTTCTCTTTAGAGCCTAGTATTCTCATCTCTCAGTTGTGCTAACTATGCTTCGATATGGTCATGATTCACCTGTAGATATCAAGAAAGCCATTCAAACATCCAAAAAGTATGCCAACAAAAGAGACAAAGAAGATCTATTTAATAGGATTCAATTGACAATATCCTCCAATTGAATTGAACATAAGGAAGGGAAAAGAAAGAGATTCATCAAGTATTAGGGGGCGGGGGTGGGGGGGTGGGGGGTGATGTGGGTGGCTGCTCTGAACGATCTTCAACACAGCACAAGGAAGTAGACATAGTACAAGAACTTTGGTCGGCATGTTCTGGCAGATAAATACCATCAGGTTCCATTCATGTAATTAGCAATCTTTCGATTTGTCATAAAGTTTACTACTGAAATCAATATATGGGATCCCTACTAGCTTAAAATGCTAAATCTATATCTTACTCATGATTGTGCAAGAATCGTGGTCTCCCTGTCTACCTTGCTTCAATTCTCAAGTTGATTTAAAGACGATATATAGGATGCACGAAAGTTAATTAAATGCAAAACAGAATGTTGACACGTCTAATCAACATGAGTTTCATACTAAAGAGAAAATAAATCAATGGAGAATTCCCCTGAATGCAGGTTCTTTATATCCTTTCACATTGGACATGGAGATGTTTATCAGAATCTATTGCTATGGAATATACCTGCTCGGTGAAGTTACTCTGATTTTGTTCAACTCTCAGAGGTTTCAAGTAGAGATAATCCTCTTATTCCACTTTTCCAAGGCCACCGAGTTTCTCCGACTCGCTTGGACATGGTTTATATTTGGGACAGCCGCTATAAGAAATATGGTGATTTAGATGAGTTGTTCCGCTTCTGTTGGAACAAACAAAGAGATGACCACAATGGTTGCACTTACATCCTTCACGTTCACTGGGCTTTCTTTCCACCTTCGTGAAATGTTGCCATACTCTTGACATTAGATCAAATTGATTTATATGTTAATAACTTAAATCTTAAGTCGCGAGTTGGTATGGACTTGGGAGAGCCCGAATTAAGTCCTAGGTTTAGACTTAGCAATTCATTAGCCTCTTATCCACCCTATGGCCCATCGCGGGCCGCCGCGGGGAGGTCGCAACTCCAACTAATGATAGTTATTAGCTTGATCATGATAGGATGTTTACAAACAGTCTTTTCTAATGACGGATTTTATGTCATCGCTAAATGGCACGATGTTTTTTATTTTCTGTTTCTTGGCGAATGGTCTGCTGGTATATTCACTCTTGCTTACTGCTACTGCAACTCAAGATCATGAAAAGTGCCGTTTGCACGAAGAGATTTGTTTTCGTAGGTTTCGAAAAGATTGGTGGCCTAGAAAACATTTGACATAATTTCATCCATTAATTGATTTGCTCTTAACATAAAAGAGTAAGGGAATCCCTCATCAACTGGATTTGTTTTTGTTAAGATTCGCCATATAATCACAAAGAAAAATAGAGAGTAAAAGCAAGAAAAAGAATTTGAGACGCAAGGTTTTATCCTAGCTCACACTTAAGCGAAAAATAGAGTGGGACTCCCATGTTGTCGTGTTGCTGGGGAGTATGAACCACACCCTGACAGTTTTTAGGAGATTTCAAAGTAGCTCCATGAGAGTACAATCTTCACATTGAAAGAAACTATTCTGTTAGTCCAATCCCATCACAAATCATTCGTCCCAACATTTACTAGAAATGATAGGCCCCATAAGAAATAGTATGGTCACGACACAAAAAAGGGAGTATCTAAACCAAAGAAGCAGTGGAAAAAGCACTGCCCAAAGATGCCTCCAACTGCCGGTACGAGGCCATTAAAATTTTTGGGGAAAGTGGAAGTATCGTTTGTTGATTAAAATATTGGTAAGTCGTGGGTCACTTGGATGAATTATTGGGATGGTGGGGCGGAAGTGTAGACAATTAAGGCCATCGTAAGAAGCGAAATTGGTAAGAAGGTGACATGGAAGAAAGTGCCTTAAGAGGGTTTTTTTCTTTCCTTAAGGGGCAAAACGAGATTATAAGGAGAACTTACACTTAAAAAAAATGCCTTAAGGCTTTTAGTCATGTTCACCCGTTCATTTATTGATCCCCGTCATATGAACAGCTTGTAAAATTTCTCTATAAAGGAAGGCAATCAACAAAGGAAGATGCACGCAAGTCTTTGACATAGACAAAGGAGAGAAAAATGGAAAGAGAATTCTTGCTTGACGAGTGTTTAGGGTTTTCTAGTCTTGTAGAATCCTTTTGATATAGGACAGTGAAAGTTTGTTCTTGATTCTCACCTGTAATTCTTCTTGATCACATAGTCAAACAACTCCTCCTTTGTCCTCGAATATAGTTAAATTGCCGACTCCTCCTTTGGTCGATTACTTGTTCATATTTTCGATTATCTTAATTTGTCTGCATTTGCACACTCCGTACCCACTTTCTCCGGAGATGAATAGAACAAAGTGAACAATTATATTCAGGTCAGCGAGCACTACTTTTCGATGTTCATCTTATGGAGCATATGTATATTTATATAAGCACACTTAGCAGTACAACAAAATCTAAAAGAAAGGCTCATAAAATCTATACTAGAAATACTGGATCTTGGTCAAGATGTTTTATTATTCTCTTGTAGATGCACACAATTAGAGGACACACTATTGTCATTAACCCTTTTCCCATTGGCACCCAATGGAAACTAAAGAGAGAAAAAATCAATTCACAAACAACTTTCTGTCAAAGATGGTAATTCATCCAGAGGAAATATGTTTTCTAAGGACTGCATTAAAACCAACTGAGTTCTTCCCAATCCCATATAGGTTCTTCTGTTTCCATACTAGCCGTCTCCATGTTACTGGAAATTCCAGCATTATTTACTATCACTGATCTTGATGAGGACATCAATCCGCCATCGCCGCCGCCTCTGCCACTTCCACCATCTCCACCTTGTATTGTCTCTGCAACCACCAGCTCCATTGGCCGACGATCAAATGCTCGGGAGCTCCCAGACACAACATACACGCGGCACAACGCGAACTCATGCCTCAACTACAACGTTTCAAGGGGAAAAATTAAAGACAAAAAAATTTGTTGCATCTAGAGAGAAAATGAGAAATAATTGTTTATGACAAACCAGCATATGACACTGGCAAACTAAGCTAAGCGCATAATATTTTTAATTTACTGGCACTACTTAATAAGGGCTACATTCTCAAAATTTTGTCTAATCAAGCCTCTAATAGGTGGATTATAATTATGAAGGCTACTTCTTTGCAAATTTAACTAAAATAAATCCGGTGACGTTCATGAGTATAGCCTATTGCTAAGAATATTGTGAGATTTTATGAAATCACTATCAACTGTTGTAAAACTTTAGACTGTTAGATGAAGTCGTAATTTAATATTTAGATACTCTAACACTCCCTCTCACTCATAAACTAGACTTTGGCCTAGGCTACAACATGAAAATATATGATGGGGAGGCAAATAAAGGGATTCGAAAGATTTGAACTGAGGATATCCTATTCTAATATCATGTGAAATTTTTTTTGTCCTCCAATCAAGACGAGAAAACATGACTCATCTAATAAAGTCCCAAAATAGATGGTTCAATTGCATTGACTAAAAGAAGAATTGACAAGTGCATGCCAGTTTAGACTTTAAATTTTACCCTAAACATGGGTATCGCTTTTGATTTACTTATTTATGTCTAGTATATAGAAAGTCATCGATCAATCAAGTCATGCATGCTTGTGAAAATAATGTTTTGCACCACTGACAAAAATCCAAGACTGATAATGCAATTAACTAAAATGAAGATCAAAGTTCAATTAGTCCATGCATGCGCTTACCCTAAACGCGGGCATACTAGAACTTGAAGAATTGGAATTGGGAGGTGAGATTATTTCTATGGCTCTATACTCGTTCAATTTCCATTGGGTTTTTCTTCCTGTTGGAGCTTTACCCACGTAGAAGACCATGGACTTCTTCATCCCAATCACTTTGTTGTCCGACGAGTAGACGTAACCGGGCGACCCGGTCGCCTTCCAGTAACCCACTGCCGTGCTTCTGCTAGGTCTCCCTCCTCTGGCTTCTCTCTCCTGCATCGGAGCGTAGAAGAACCACTGCTCTTTGTCTTCTCTGCACAGCTCTCCGGAAAGCTCTGCAGCAGCAAAGCACACAACACCACAAGAAACAGCGAAAACTTTACTAACAATTCGCAACAAGTTTGCACATTTAATAGAACCCATGATTTCTTTCGGTGACAATGAAGGAGAATATCGAGAAATGAAGAAATTCCACGTGTGATTTCATATTCTTTTACCTGGGAGATTCCACGGCTCGGTGGCGTAGATGTTGAATACCGGAATGATCCGGCGGAGCCGGTCTTGTAGCGAGCCCTCGAGCTGGTTGTGCAAATAGAAAGAAATGAGCTCTTCCTTCGTTGGATAGAACCTGAAGCCTGTCGGATGATCCTCCATCATGTTTCTTTTTTACTGTATTCTAGGTTTCTAAAGGAGGGATGTGCTCGTTTGCGTTTTACCTGACAACAGATATGGTAGCTTGTGTTCTAGATAACATATTAGATCTCGACTAGGCCTATATATATAGAAGTGGACCTCTTGGTCACCATAAAAGAGGAAAATGTTTTAACGTGTGCAACGAGTCAGCAATGAGGACGGAAAGAAAAAATATATTAAATGCATTTCATTTCGGAGTGAATTCTTTTTTTCTAATTCTTTTTTTTTTTAAATTTGAGAGTTCCATTATTTGATAATCAACGCGAGCATAGAATTTTTTAAAACTGATTCATATGAGCTTTGCTAGCTAGATTTTTTTTTTTTTTTGGTAACCTAGGGAACCCCCGCACGGCTGACAGCCGGGGAGTAAACCCTGGGGGCGACACGTGCTAGCTACCACACACGTGCCACCGGTTAAGTCACCCTGCAGCACCCGGGATTCGAACACTCAACCTTTTGCGAGAGGAAAAGTGCGCGCTCCAGCAGCGCCACCCAGACGGGTGGTTTTGCTACCTAGATTTTTTTTTTTGGTTTTGCTAGCTAGATTTCGTCTCCTTTTTTTCAAAGAAAATGAACTAGACCGGAAAATATATTTAAAAAATGGTTCAATTTTCCTGTACTTGGCTGTGAAATGATTTTCCGTTAACTTATTGCCTAAATGATTCATACGCCGGAAAAAAGAGAGGAAAATATCGTGAGTTTTGAAAAGTTAATAAATAGGGCTTTGCTTGAAATACGCCATACTAATTAAAGAGGCCCTAATCAAATTACGATAATGGATGATATCAACCATACTAATTCCGTCAGCATAATTTGTTAACTAAGTTAACTAAGGCCGTCAGCATAATTTTTCATTTTCCGTACAGAGACTCAAAAAGCAACATCTGGAACCAAATCGGTTGAAAAAAATAATAATTCCCACGTGCAATATTAGATGGATGATAAAAGCGCAAATAACCCATCATTTAGAAATGTTAACTAAGTCGGTCAGCATAATTTGTCCTTCTTGGTACTTTATGTTTTTTTTTTTTTTGGGAAACTATCACGCGGGGAGCCAAAAAAGAACAACTGAGAGAGAGAAGAAGACAGAGAAGTAGATATCTATCTTCGAATTCCAGAACATTAGTATACAATAATAACTATGTTCGTCGTCTCCGACCATATGAGTCAACCTCGTCTTCACCGTTTCGCCAGCTTGCTCCCAACCCCAATTTTCCATGCAGTAATCTCATGACATTAGTCAGTTTCTGTCGTCGGCTCATCCGAGAACGTGTTCCCACTCGCAAAAACTATATACTATGATCTTCCGCGAAGTTAATAGTTCATTTAGATTGGGATGAGACATCGTTTCACACCACTCGTCATATTTCAAGTGATTTAGGGTGGAGGGTGGAGGATGGAGATAGAAGTAGCATTAAAAGAGCACTTCCATTAATTTATGTTGACCTTCTTTACTCATTTGGCTCTTGTTCAACTCGACAATCTTAAATTAGCACCGAATCTGGAAGAAATAATTAGGTCCGAGTATCTTTATTCTTTTGATACTTTAAATCTATTTCGTCAACTTACTCAATTTTAAATTTCATAAAAATGTTCTCATGCGATCCAGTGTGATCTTCGCCGCCAAAACTACCTTTTTCTTTTCACACTTTCGTGGTTTCAACGTAGGAAAAATGAATTTAAGGAATGGCCGAGTTTTGAAATCAAGTGAAATTATATCCTTTTCTGTTTTATACTAATGTACTTTTGAAAGATTAAGTATGTTGTAGTGTGAGCGATTTTATAAGTTGTTGATAACTTACTTACACTTTATTGAAATTATCAGCACTTTATTGAGAGTAACAATTGATGGAGGATTCCATGCTCATGAATCAACAAAGAACTTCTGCAACACAGAAAGAACTTTCCGGCCAAGAAATCGGATAAAAATTAAATAAAAGTAACAATTGATGGGGTCTTTGCCACTTTCTTTAATGAAGGAACAGGTCATTATCAATACCAATTAGTTGCAATTGTGGGGTTCGTGGCCCTGCCGACATCTGAATCTTTCACCTATCCAAGCACCACATGTTGGAATTACTTTGCCCCTTCTGCAGTTTGAGAAGCCGATTCTAATCCATTTCACTCTCACCGAATTAGGGGAAAAAGTATCAAAATATTCTTAAACTTATTACATTGCTACTAATTCAGTCGTCAACTTTTCAATTGGACTAATTTAGTCATAAATCTTTTCGCATTAGTACCAATTCAATCCATCCGGCTAATTTAGACCGGAAATCGCTGATGTGGATGCCGGTGGTCCAACATGGCACCGTCGGCGCTGACGCGAACAAAATTTATAATTTTTTAATAATTTTTTTCAGATTTTTTAATATTGTTTTTTTTAATTTTCTTTTCTTTCATTTTTCTTTTTCTAGAAACTGTTGGCCGGTGAGGACGCAACCTTCGCCCAGATCCAGGCGAGGGTCGTTGGCCCTCATTTGTGGCCGACAATGGTCGGCCGGCGACCTCGCCGGCCAATAGTTTCTAGGAAAAGAAAGAAAAGAAAAGAGAAAAAAGATCAAAAATCTGAAAAAATTATTAAAAAATTATAAAATTTATCCACATTAGCGCCGGCGGTGCCACGTAGGATGGTCGGCATCCACGTCAGCGATTTCCAGCCTAAATTGATCGGATGGACTGAATTGGTACTAATATAAAAAGGTTTAGGACTAAATTGGTTCAATTGAAAGGTTTAGAACTGAACTGGTACCGATGCAATAGGTTCATGACTTTTTTGGTACTTTTTCCCCAAATTAGGCAAAATAAAATACTAGAGTACCTTTTGTGAATCATGTAATTGCTATACACGATATATCTTATTGGAAAGTATCTATCCATCGTATTCACACCCATTGCCTAGATTGCACATGCTTGTACCTTGGTTAAAACTCAATAGTAAGTTATAGATCGAAAAATCATAGATCAAGTCCTAATGAAGATGGGTATTCTAAGGCAACCTCTAGGAACCTCTTATGTCAATAATTACCTGGATATGATGGCATGGAAGAATTGCCGTTACTCGAGAGGATCGATTGGATTTTCCCAGATGTTCAGACAAAATGTCTTGGGATTTTTGTTTGTAAGAAAATGAACGGGCTAATTGTCCAAAGAGTCCTAAAAATACTATACAGCGGTCAATTTAGCCATAAACTTTTCAATTTGGTCAATTTAGTCATAAACCTTTTAGCGATTTTCCAATGTAGTCCATCCGGATAATTTTTGCCGAAAATTGATAAAGTGTATGCTAGCTATTCTGCATGGTACGACTGACGTTGACGTGAATGATTTTTGCAATTTGTTTTAAATTTTTGAATTTTTTCTTGTTTTCCCTTTTCTTTTCCTTTTCGCTTGTTTCTAGATTTGACTGAGCATGGCCCTCGCCTGTGGCCAATTGTGGGCCATCACTGAGACTAGCCATAGGTGAAAAGAAAAAAGGAAAAAAATTAGAAATTTTATAAAAATTGCAAAAATCTTCCACATAAGAGATTTTAAACCAAAATTGGCCAAAGTAGTTACATTAGAAAATAATCATTGGCCGACGAGGTCGGCCTTGCCAATGGTTGGCGGGGGCGAGGCTCGCTCGAGGCCAGCGAGACCTCGCTAGCCCTCCCTTTTGGCCCTCCCCTTTGGCTGATTGCTGACGCCCAGCAACCAACTGGAGGAGGAAGAAGGGAAGGAAAAAATAAAATAAAATAAATTGAAAATAAAATGAAATAATTGAAAAATATTAAAATATTATGAAAAATTATCTACGTCAACGCTAAGTAGGATGACTGGCATTCACCTCAACGATTCCAGTCAAAATTGATTGAATGGACTCAATTGGTGAGAAATAAAAAGGTTTAGAAGTCAATTGGCAAAATTGAAAGTTTTAGGACTCAATCAGCAAAACTGCAATAGGTTTAGGATTTTTTGGATAATTTTTCCCAACATCTGCTTTTACTTGATACACTAATTTACCACCTAATTCGGTGTGTAATTGGATAGAGATAGAAAGATAATTCCACTATTAATTTTTATAAAACGATGCTTGAGGTGTCGATTGCTAATTTGACCAAACTTTATCAACACAACAATGAGTCGTTCGATCAATTTGTTGCTCGATTTAAGAAGACTAGGACTAAATGCCTTGCTTCACTCTCAGAAATTTGTTTTCACAAATTTAGCTTTCCGATGTATTAATATTTAATCGTGTTGACACCTATTTTTAAATTGCCCAAAGTTAATTATACAAAAAATTAGGAATTAAATTTTTAGTTCCTAAAAAAAAAAATTCGTCCAATTGCATTGCATCTAGATATTAAACATGATAATGGTAATTGCACTAATTAGAATTTTTAAACAAAAATTTCAAATTTTTTTTAAATAAAATAATATTAATATTAATATTTAAAAAAAATCCGGTTTGGGCCGGGTCGACCCGGCCCTTTTCTTTTTTCCCCCCGCGCGGGCTCGGCCCGCTTTCTTTCTTCTTCTTCCCCTTCTGCGCGAGCTGGGCCTAGCCCGGCCCAGCTCCTTCTTCTCCACCTCCCTCGGTTTGGCCTCCCCCCTCTCTCTCCTCTGTTCTCCTCTGTCCCGACCGCCACTGGAGAAGGGCGGAATACTCGCTCCACCACACAAATTGGTCACGAAAGTCACGGTAGGAGCTGAGGCCGGTGCAGAGCATTCAATGGAGCAGGGTCGACAACCGGCGACCACCATAAAAGGCGAAGAGAGAGGAGAGAGAGAGGGGGGCCGGTTTGAGAGAAAAATAAGGAGAGAGACGAACCGAGAGAGAGAAAGAGAGATTGGGTGATTTGCAGGGACGAAAGGAGAAGCAGCCTGTCTCGTGGTGCCCCCAGATCAGTCGGAGACCTCCCCCAGACACACCGCCGACCGGTGAGCAGTCTCGGTCCTATTTTTACTCTGTTTTTGTGCACCGGTCGGCCGGGATTCGTGCCGGCCGTTAGGCGTGAATCCCGGCCCATACCGATCCTCCTC